AGTCTCTCGCAAACAGCTAATAGGATTATTTTACATCGTTTGCATTTTACACAATGACATACGTTTTGTATTTTCTGCGTTGGATGCAACGCAGTTGAAATGCACAGCCAGACACTTAGGGAAGAACATCGCGTGACGGATTGGCTATAAAATATAGATGCGAAAATATATACATGCTCGCTGCCGGCCACAACCTCGGGTTCCGTTTTTAAATTTTAAAGGTTTATCGCGTCGTCAATCGCGCGCACTTGAATTTATCGCGTTTTTCGCGCCGACCGACCCTGAGATCTGTGGAGTGTGGAAGCGCGAAAGAGGTAAAAATCGAAGAATAAATCTATAGCTTAAACGTCCTACGCCACCAGGCTTTGCAATTTATTCGCTTTCGCTACTGTTGAAAATTAATTAACGGCGATCTTGTAAAACGGAATGACTCAAGATTCTCGGGACTCGTTTCAACTAACTAAATGCTTTTTCTCTCCTGGGCGCAAGGCCAGGAAACGCTTCTCTTTCTTTCTTTCTTTCTTTCTTTCTCTCTCTCTCTCTCTCTCTCTCTCTCTCTCTCTCTCTTTCTCGAGATTTACGCAGGGAAACGCGGAGAAGGTCAGCCGCGTCTTTTCCGGCGCTCACGCACCGTGCAAACGCAACTCGACTGACCCACTGCGCCGACGATTCTCGCTGACATTTCGTAACCGTCACCACCGCTCGTATATTTAGCGTTACGTTACGCGTGGCCGTCGCGCGGGAGAACGGGACAGCTGTAGTAGGTTCACTTGTTACCGTTCAAGCCTTGCGACTCAGCTGATTGCCAGCCTACCGCCGCTCGCAAACGCGCTGCATATACGCGCTATATAACTATAATGCGTGCCTATCAATGTGTTCTGTTTGCTATTATCTTGGCACAATTCTCGTTTCGCCTGGCTCGTTTGATTCTTCCGCCAGGTTAAAACTAACTTAAAAAAAAACATCTAGACGCGAAAATATGTATACATATATCCACGCATCGAAGCCTCTTGCATTCAATCTCGGCTCCATTTTTTAACTTTGAAGATATTTTGCAATACAGTCTTCTACAATATCTTATATACAATATATTGTATATAAGATAAATCACCGTGACACGTCATATTCGTATTTTTATGTATACATTGTGCAAGCGACGGTTTAACTTTAATTATTAACGTCTGATGATTCACGTATATTTAAAGTTCTTTTATAGTGTTCTTTTGTACTGTTCTTTTGTACTGTTTTATCGCTTTTATCTATCAGAGTTATAAAAATAATATAATGTTATATAACACTGATATTTTTTTTATCAACGTTTGACATACTGTCTTATACACTTCTATCTTGATGAATTTTGCGAATCTTAACTCATTTCAAGATGTATTGATTCCGCTCCAATTAAATTTGTCGATTACTCCGCTTTCGGCGGTCATGTTAAAATGTCCCTATCTTATGAATCGAAACGCATCTGCAAGCGGCGTGAAATTACACAAACGTAGAGAGTGAATCTTGGCTCGGTACAATCGTATTCCACTTACGGCTTCCGTAAATCGTAAAAGTCTGTGTTTAGATCCACGCACGCGGCGGTTTCACTCTTGCTTTTCTATTTTATTAGCCGGTCGCGGATATGTATGTACATGTCCGATTTGTAAGTAGCGTGATTTCACGGGCGAATCTAAAGCGCCCCGCGTTAAGCAACGCGCTCAGGAAATACGCAATCGTTATCGCGTATAAATTATTTTTTTCGCACGTGGAAGTTACGGCAAAAATCACGATTCTACCCTCCTCCTCGTTCAAAGCGCTATCGTAAAGCTCCATCGTGATTCGTTTTCACGCGAGATTTCGCGATACTCGCCTTATTCTCTCGGCGCGATAAATTGATTCCTATTGCGTGTATATTTATTTTTTATTTTTTTCATTGCGTGCGCGAAGACCGTCCGCGAAACAACAATGCGTCAGTGTGCCCGTCCGCGTTTCTCGCGGGCGCGGGCTCGCCTTACGACACAGAACAAGGCAATCCTCAGAGACGTGTCCACTGACCGTTGCGGACTTTCGCGACTCCCGGTATCCCGTTGATAGAGCAACGCGCCTCCGTCACGACTCCAATGCGCCCGTAACGCGGTGCAATGCACGGAGGGGAGGGGGGGATAGGTCTCTTGCTATAGAGACCCTCTCTCTCTCTCTTTCTCTGTCTTTCTTATGCGCGCGCGAAGCCGCGGAGCGGAGAAAGTTAATTTCGCATGGCCGTTGAACCGATATCGCTGCTATTACGCTTAGGGGAAGCGGAGAGTAACCGCGCGTTAGACGCGGTTAGACCAATTTGCTGCTTCTAGGCCAGTCACGTCTTATTCGATTCGAGCCGGCCGTCCGAGTCGACGTCGATCAACAAGACGCCGCGCCGCCACTGCCGCCGCGCCGCTGCCGTTCGCGCATTCGACTTCACGAGGAATCGCCCGCGGATCGAAACTAGCGCATCCCGAATTAACTCCTCGCGATCCGCGAGCGGTACGCCCCTCTCGGTTTTGTACCGCTCTGCAGCTTCTCCGTGTCGCGTTTGGACCGCCGCGCGCGTTAAAGAAGCGTGGTCCGAATTTCCGGCGAGATGGTGGAACGAGCACTTTCGCGAATGACGTTTCATTCGTAATATCTGTACTGTTTCGAGGAAGTCCCTCTTCCATTGCTTCTTTTTTTCTTTTTTTTTTCCTTTTTTTGTTAAATTTATTTTCGTATATAGAAACGCTTTCTTTTCTTTGGACTAATTGTAAGTATACTATAGCGCGAGTTCCTGCGGCTTTCGATAAGACCTTCCGGAGAAATAGTTAGAAATCAAGGAGAGTAACTTGTTCGTGTTACATCGTCCATTTACAACGATGAATATTTATGTAGGTCGTAGAATTTGCATTAATTAATTATACGCGAGAATTACTTTCCACGGCGGCTTGCCGCGGCTATATGGAAACAACGTGAATTAGGAGAACGCTTCGAAATTGCATCGCGATGTATCGTAATGTCTTCCTTATGTAAACGCAATCGCAATTTGGCGTGCGTCCAGCAATAAAAAAAAGAAAAAAGAAATGGATCCTTACGTGTTACACGGCTCTCTCGCCGAACTAACGTAACGGTCTTCCGTTTCGCGAGCTCGTAATCTCACGAGTCGTTGATCTGTTACGCGCGCTCGCGAATTAGCGGTCTGAATGGTCTGATCGGTTCCAGAGGATTTTACGCGACCAGGAGATGTCACGTGAAGCGTAAAACGCTGCGATATATAATAGGAAGCGTCTCGTTCCTGTCGGCTCGACGAGACTCGTTGGAATATCCCCGAATCGTGTCAGACACACTCGCTCGTTATACTTTCGCGAGTAGAAATGCAAAAGTCACTCTCCTCGATCCCTCCCCCGGTTCCCCTCCTGCCCCTCGATAATAACGGGAATGTGCCTTTTGATCGCGCACATTAGAGCCGCAGGTATTCGCGGGCGTTGCGACACGTGGTTGAATGGCGGTCGCCGCGTCCCCGTGCATACTGAGGACCGCATCGAATGACCGAGTCGCCGTATATAGCGCGCGTAGAAAGACGTTTATCGCCCCGATTGTGAAGACGCACAGTCCGACTATGCATTAATAGCCGTAATAGAATCGGAAAGTCCCCGTCGTCCGAGCTGCGTCCGCGACACATGGTATCATCGTGCGGGCGTTCTCGAGAAATCGCGCGATACGTGGAAAGTCGTCGGAGAGCTTTTCCATGACGCGATATTAATTATTAAGCGCTCCAGATGGGGACCGCGACCATTCAAAGTGGAGACACCGAGGAGAGTTCTACGATATATTCACGGGAACGTGAATCGTTTAATGACGATGACACGCGGGATTTAGTTTCAGAATTGTTACACGCTGGAGTACCTCTCCGGGAAGAAAGCCCGGTATACTCTAGTTCATTCGTTCCTTATACGGTACGTCTCGATTTCTATAAAAGGGTCCAAAGACAGATTTAGGATCCTGAAGAGGAGTTCTAACTGTCTGTTCGGTCAGATTATTTTATCCGAGTCAGACTCAAGTTCCAGAGGGTAACGAAATATCTCTGTTTCTCTTCGTGCAGCTGCATCAATAATCGTTAACTTTTCGTCGCGGGTGATTTTTTGCTCAGTATAGGTTTGCCCAGGTAGGACAGGGACTTTGTCCCAAGTTGTCTCTGGATATACTGGCACGCGCGTGGGCGAGCCGAGACGCGATCGCGAAGAATCGGTTTGTCGACTGTACGTGCTAGAGAAACCGGTACCGGTTCTCGGCCGCTGCGCAAAAAGACAATGGCGTGACCTTAGCGGATATGGCGAGACCAGATTCTACATGTCTCGAGGATGACCGGCTCGCACGGAGGTTTTTCCTTCTCCCTTTTCCTTCCTTTTCTATTCCCACCGTTGGCGGCGCAGCTTTGGTGTTATTTGGCACGGCAGCGTGCACATTTACTTGCATTTGTATTTCCACGGCCACCCTAAGAAACAGGATTTATAGTTTCAGACAATTCGAGATCTCCGTGTAATCTCATCTTTCTTCTTTCAAATAGCCGCCTCGGACTTCCTTAAAAGTTATTCGAAAATAATGTGATTTATTGGATACAAAAAAATATATTTATACCGCAATATACATTAATACAATCGAGATTATAATAATTATATTTCAATAATTGTTTCATTGAAGGAGTATAAAAATTGAATAAAGATAAAGAATGGATAAGAAATTAATTAGGCAAGATTGCTACCGCGGTTTTCATAAAAAACTACTCATCGTCAGTAGCAATAGATTATTCGATTAATCGTTAAAACAATAATTACTTGGACGCCAAAAGTTCGAAAGTCAAAGCAAGTACAGATTGAAAAAAACAATGAAGATATATTCATATAATAGAGAAGTCAAATTCTGAAGTTTGCGGTTCGCGTTTTAATAACATCTTGTATATTATACGAAGGCAAAATAATCTACTTAAGCTTCTCGTGACATTCCAGAATGCTGTAAAAATGCCGTCGTTGTTGGAAGCGCTGGAGCTGAAGTACGGCAGCTCAACGACGGACTGCTCGTTGACGGACGATGAGGCGGAGTCCGGGTCGCCAAAAGCCGCCCTGTCGGTGAGCATCTTCATCCCCAAGAAGTCTCCGCGGCACACGGTGCCGGCGCTACTGGTGCTCCAGGACTGCGACATCGAGTCGGCGGGCAACGACGCCGAGAAGCTGCGCAGCAAGTGCAAGAACGTCGAGGAGCTCGACCTGGCGCAGAACAAGCTGTCGCAATGGACGGAGGTGTTCGGCATCCTGCAGCACATGCCCAAGATCAAGTTCGTGAATTTGAGCTTCAACAGCCTCGCGGAGGTGCTGGAGATCAAGCACGGCAACTACGATCTTCTGAGGAACCTCGTGCTCAACGGCACCAGGGTGTCCTGGTCGACGGTGCAGGGGCTGGTGCGGCTCCTGCGCAATCTGGAGGAGCTCCACTTGTCCTTGAACGAGTACAAAACGGTGGATTTGGATTATCAAAAGCCGGAGAACGTGAACCCGGCGGTGAAGAAGTTACACTTCACCGGCAATCCGGTGGAAGTTTGGAACGAGATCTCGAAGATAGGGTAAGTCTCACAATGATATTATTTTAATTCTGATTGCAAAATCGATCAGTTTTCTTTAGTGATACAAAAGAAAATTTGTTGTATAAGTCGTTGCTCCGAAAGATTTGACACTGTACGTCGTGTCGCTCCTTCAGGTATCTATTTCCGAACCTGAAGAGCCTCGTTCTCGCCGAGTGTCCGATCAGGTCGCTCGGCTTGGAGGAAAATCAGAATTTGCCGAGCGAGGAGGGCCGTCGAGCGAAGGAAGAAGGCCACGGGCAGGATAGCGAGAACATGAATCACTTAGACACGGATGAACACACTCCGTCGACGGACGAGAAGGGAAATAGGATATTTGAGAACAAGGTCAACTACGATAGATCCGAGTCGAAGTCGGAATCGAATGGTACGATCCAGTCGCCCCACGATCCCTTCAGGATGCTGAGGTTCTTGAATCTGAACGGTACTCTGCTGTCGACCTGGGACGAGGTCGAAAGGCTCGCCAGGTTCCCCATGCTGAAGTCGCTCAGGATTCAAGGCTGCCCGCTTTTCGAGGTGAGTGATCCGATCTTTGATCTCCCCGACGCGACGATCGAAAATTGAAAAGTCTCGCATTATGTACATACGTTAGGAAACATCTTGATTTACACATCTTGATTCTTTCGCGTGTAACTCGATTGACGAAGGATAACGAGAGCAATTTTGTATTTAACATAAACAATACACTTCTTATTTTTTCTAAACGTATAATGTTAATAAAATTATTATTTAGATATTATACTTACATTTTAAATAAAAAATGTTACAATCAAAACGGATACTTAAATTTTTGTGTCGCTTATGTTTTTTTTTAAATACGAAGTAAAAGAGAAATTTTGGAGAAATAAAGATCAACTGAAGGTAGTTATAATACGGTAATAGATATTAGTACTAGCTGCACGTGGGAACAATATTCATTATTGCAATGCAAAATAAATTTATTCTGTGAAAGATCAAGAACACACGAAATACGATACGACCGAACTGTTCTGAAATCAATGACTATTTCCATTCTCAAAGTGCATTAAAGTATAAACTCTGAGTAAACTTGACGATAGACGAATTAAAGACACGTGTGTAATTCCCTCACGCCAAAACTGCCACAGCCATTAGCGGCTACGTGAGAAATAGCGTGTCCTAGTAAAAGATCTTTCTGCGTGGACATATGCAGCAATTGAATCCTCTTGGCACGTGCTCAAACAGACTGATAGATTAATGCAACGTGGGTTCTAAAAACAAGTTCTCGGAATCAATACACTCTGTGCAAACATCCCCTATATTCCACTTCCAAACATGGTTGTGTTTCCAGGAGAATTTCATATTAATAGACGAATGCGAAATGAAGAACTCATTGTTTGTGTTTAATAGGAACTTTGTTATTGTTGTGCGAGGAACGGAATTAGATACCAACACGTCACCGTGGTAATTAAACGTGCGTAACATGGTAGCCTTCGATTCAATGAGAGACCAGTTTTGTCGTGGAATGTATTTCCTCTTCTTTAAATTACTGACGTTTATAATTGCAAACTCGCTTTTTAATTAAAAAACATTTTTTGTTCATATCTTGATAACATTGTCCAAATCTGTATCATTATTCGAAAGAGATTTTTTGTTTTAAGAAAACGGAAATTATCTTGCTGTTACTATATAAGAGATCCGTCCATTTTGAAACGCACAACAGGCTAAAGATATTGAGTATTTTTAAAAATATAAATATCTTCGTTTTAATTGAATTTTTATATTCGTTTCTTTGGGACAAATTAATCTAATTATTTAGCCCGAACTTGATCAATCTTCATCATATTACGCAGTAATCCATACCGTCTATACCAGCCAGGAAACAAGCTGAACGTTATTTGTCATTTTGACGTCAAAATGATTGATGATAAATAACGCGAGCTCGTTTTCGGGTGGGTGGATATCGCGAGTTTTCGTCCACCGCTCTTAATATTCGTTTAACATTTCCCAGAGCCCACGAGAGTACACAGAACACGAGAGGCGGCAGCTACTAATAGCCCGACTGCCGAACGTCGAGACTTTGAACGGCGGCGGCGTGATATCGTCTCAGGAGCGCGAGGACGCCGAGAGGGCCTTCATACGTTATTACATGGACAAACCGGAAGCTGATCGGCCCGAAAGGTAAGTCTCGACGCTCGCCAAGCGTCTTTTGATTTCAATCTCTCTCTCTCTCTCTCTCCTTTTTTTTTGTTTAATAATTGAAGCTCGCGGAATTTCGATTACTTCTTCAAAGGCGCCGTAAATTACTTTAGCGCGCCTTTAACGTAAGTTCCAATTTTCTTGCGAACAAGCGCCTCGTTCGGGCGGTTCCGACTTCGCCAGAGTCTATTGGACTATTCTCGTTTCATGGCCACGCTCGTTCCCTTACCGCTCGGTGGAGCCCAACTTGACCCTCTTCTGTGATTTTCAGGTATTCCGAGCTCGTGGCTATTCACGGAAAGTTGGACCCCTTGGTGAACGTAGATTTGACACCGGAGAAAAGGGTCAAGGTCACGTTCACTTATGGAGATCTCGTCGAGGTAATTTAATTTCAGATCGAGTTTCGTCACCTTAGACAGACGTAATCACGCGTAACGACGAACTTTCACTAAGTAAGCTTCTGTAACAACTTAATTATTTTTCGTGTTACCACAATTTTTCTCGAACTCGTGACTCAAAAAATAATTAAGTCTTTACAAAAGATTAAGTATATTTATTCTGCAAGTATTCGCGATACGTGCAAAAGAATTTCCGTGCCATGAGCTATATTTTCTATTCATATTCGATGGGAATTCGACGGTCACGAAAACAATTCATGCTTTCAGGTACGATCGGTAGATGTATATAGAACGGTTTTCGAATTAAAAACCAAGTTGGAAAGTATGGTGAAAATTCCTGCCAATAGAATGAGGCTTTTCTACGTTGATCAGGTGAGTTTCCCCGTTCTGTATTAACTAAACGACTTTAATACTGTTCGCAGAATGTTTGGCATCTCGATCGATCCTTTAAGAAACCCGAAGTCGCGATATAAATCGCACTAGCCTCCCAAACAATCCTCATCCTGCCCTGCACGTAAAGTTTGCAATTCCTCAAAGTGTATTGTCGCAGTACAAGGTACGAACGCGAATTCTTGTGAAAATAATTAACGTACATGAAATTTTGTGCAAATTATTAAGACGTTACTCTATCACACAACAAAAGTAAATACTGCAGCGACGCTAAAAAAAAAACGTGAAACGAATTGATAATTTCAGGAGATGAAGGCGCAGTATGGACCGGAGGAAATGCTGTATCCGAACAAGCAGCTGTATCGATACAACATTAGGAACGGCGACGAGATCATCATCGACAGCAAACTGAATCGATTCGCGTCAACGTCTTCGGCCACATCTTCCATTCGTTCCTGAAGAAGAACGATGAGTGAGTCGCGTGGTATTGAAGAAATCCGATAACTCCTCGGATTTTTTGATCTCCACTTGTAGCCTCACGACGCGACGCTCGTCGGTACGAATCGTAACGACACTGTTACAGATCAAAGAGAGAGAGAGAGAGAGAGGCACGCGTGTACGTACGGTTTTCACGAGACCGCGTTTGTTAATAATCGCGGGTCCGAAAACCGAGAACTGTTGACACAGTCCGGAGGCGGACGAATGTTCGAGGGCGAAATGTTTCCCTACGTGGAAGTATATGAGCTAAATGTATAGAATTAGGGACTTGCGGATGTTCGATGTTACCTTAAACCGCAAATATTTGAGAAACAATAGTGTGGACAGACGATATATACGAGAAAAATTCGTGAATTGGCGAAAACTCTATCGAGAGGCGAAATTATCTAAGAGCGTCAAGTGTTTCTTTAAACAATGTGTCTAAACTTCTAAACACTTTTTTCTAAAAATCGAATTACCACCGTCAATGCAAATGATCATTCGACGCGATTGTTAGATTAATTATTTCTTCGCATAACAAACTCATCCGAGAGACCTCGACGTATAAACTTAAAACCGCTACTAACGAGCCTGGTGCATAGAGAATAATTATTGTGTCCAGTGTACACGCGTACACGCGCTTAGATGGGTAGTTAGCCGTCTTTTTCTTTAAGTAGTAAGTCTCGTCTGTCTTAGGAGACGAAGAGCGTGTGTGGGAAAGCAGAATTGTACATAGCGAATTTCAATTTCCAGCCAAATTCGATGTAGCTGCGACGCGAGTAAAGGGGGAAAACCCTAATCCCGAGAAAGCTCGACGCGAAAGAAAGTGATAGGAACTCGTAGAAGAGGATAATTCGACTCATCTTAGGACGGACATGCCAACGACGACTTGTTGACGAGACCGCGCCGTCGAGGCTGCTGCTGACGAAGAGAACGAAAATATTTTTGTAGAGATCGCGGGCAGCTATCCTTAAAGAAAGTATAAGATTCGCTCGTACCACGAGGACGAACGCGTTTTGTTGCCCCTCGCTTGTGCACCGATGATGAAAAGTGTGTAATCGCAGTCGCAGCCACGTATCCGCTCGCGCTCGCGCGGCTACTCTTTCGCGAAACGCGCTCGTTAAGAGAGACAAGGGGGAGACCTTGCGCGAAATTTCCGAGTGTTTAAGAGAAGTGGAATGTATTTGTATCGCTGGTTCGCGAAAGCGTCGTCGTCCACTTACGGTGTCATCTTGACAAATGATCTCTGTACTTTCCGAAGGTGATACATATATACTTACAAGCGAACTATCTCTTCTGTAAATTTTGCGCGAGATTAAAACCTGCACCCGCGGTGAGTCACTCGTAAGTTGCGACGAGTAAACGAGTCCCGAGAGGAAACGCGAGAGAAAATTGGTGAAATCGTACAAGAGTTACGTTGCTATCATCTATATTTTCGGTATGTACTTAACGCTAAAAGTACAATATCTTCACTTATGCAAGACAAGTTCCATATTTTCGAGCGATATTACTTCTGTTAATTCTAGGGTGTATTGAGGCGTACAGCGCGGCGTAAAATTGCACATTATCGCAATCGTCACGAAGTGGACGGACGGAGAGAGAACGCAACACGTTAGACGACGGCGATAGAGCGTGGAATACAAATCTCAAAATGTGATAACAGGGGCAGCATCGATTGCGATTTACGATACACGCGGTGTAACTTGCGGATTCGCAGTCACTCTCGAATCTCGAAAGTGTACATATACCTTTTCTTTTCCCTTCCCCGAAGCATGTCTCACTTGCATTTACATAGCTTACCCCAATTTTAGAGCATCGAAACGAGCTCGCGAGATGAAGCCAGGTAGAATGTTGCGTTGCGTCGCTTTGTCCTTTGAAACTGCCGGCCGTGCGGGAAATTTTCGGCCGAGCGTCGAAGAGAGGAAGCGCGGACGGTGTGTAACAAGTTTCGATTTCTTTGCTCGCAAGCAAACCGAAGCTTGCGGAGTCACTTAGTGCCTGCCTTTTACGTACTAGCGTATAACTCATGATACTTCTAACACTGCCCTGTGAATACGTGAAAAACGTAATTCGGGAAAGACAAGGCTCTCGGTAATGTATAGTATCGAGAAACGTAGACCGAATTTGGAGCAAAGCACAAAAATCCAGTTGATCAGGATCCATAATAAAATTTTATTTATTATACAGCGTTATATTTCTAGTTATATTAATTAATTATTATTAAAAAAGCAGGTTTCTTGCCGAGCATTTTTGGTGACAGAGGCTATATGTACAAATTCGGAGGTTTTTTTTTAATAATTGCCTCTTACAGCACAAAATGTCAATATTCCATCAATATTACAGCAACGTTGCAACGTTCCAGCAATATTGCCTGTAGCAGCTTTGCAACGTTACTATATTGTTAGAGTGTTCTGTGCTATGTATGGGGCAACGTTGAGAATCAGTTGGTTATTATTGCGGAATAATATTGCTACTGAAGAAATTCGGTCGGACGTTTCCCGGAAATCGGAGGAGCACCGCGATAGTCAGGAAAATGCTGGCTGTGGGACTCCAACTGCCAACCGCCGTGCGTCCTACCTTCGCAGCACGGAGAGTGCGAGTCGTTTGGTTGAACAACGGAAAATGAAAATCAATCACAAAGGAGGACAAGGACGGTACTGGCAGTGGGCAGTCCCACGACGCATGTGTCTAGTCTCGGAAAAGGAGAACTCTGCATTACTTTCATTTTATAAAATACGATCCTTTTTTTTGTGCTGGCGCAAATGTACGTACTAACGAAATAAATCATTTATATGACACAAAGCGATTCCTCAATTTCGGATCCTTAATTTTCGCATGACACTTTCGGTGGATCGTTATTAAAATGTTTTCGCGAAGGACTGCAGCGATTCGATCGCAGCGATATCTTACAAAATAAAACCAGAGCCTTTAGTTTATTAGGTTTAGTGCTTTTATTTAAATAATTTTTTTTTTTTGGAACAAAGATTACGCTTATATTACACGCTCTATTGTAAAATAACCGTTTTTAATCTAAAAATTCATAAAATTTCTTACGTCTGTCCGATTGTTAATTCAAGCCGGAAACAATCGGATCACGTTGAGAATAATAAAGATCACGGATAAAGGAAGGGACGGCGGGGAATGTGTATAATACATGACAACGTGTTTATTCACAACCGTTAACCATAAACGAGCCAAGGATAATTATACACATATTAAACGCTACGATCTATCACAATGGATTCTCTCTTGCCTCCTTTTTTTTTCCTCCCTGTTTCGGATGTGTATAGAAATATATCTGGGTAAACGCTACTTAAAACTATAATCGCGCCTTACGTGGCCGCGACGGCAGATTTGCACATCTATACATAAAACGTTACAACGGTACGTATGTATGTACATATAGGTACAAGCTAGATTTCTCGTAATGGAAAACATTGGAATCAATATTTCTGCTGGATATGTCGTAAAGGCGTAAAGCTAAGATCTACGTACGATTTGGTCCGATCTTCCGTAAATCCGATCTTCGAAAATATTAATCAAGCTATCTGGTTAAGCGACTGTCAGCATCGGCCGAAGCTAATCACCACGATTGTAATGTAATTTCAAAGTGAAACTGCAGAAGACACCGGCATTCAAATCCAAGATTAAAACCATTAGTAAGTACAACATTGTACAATATGAGCTCCAATTCGCATTATTGGAAGCATTGTACTATAAATACTCGCCTATAGGAATATTACTTCAAATATCCTTATTATAAATTAATTCTTTGTTTTTTTAGTTTTAGCGAGTGCTCTAGCTATGGACTAATATAGCCTTATTTGTACTCTTATCTCTCTAGAATAATGTTACTATATTACTTTAATAATAAAGTACATCGATTTTCTTCACTTTTATTGCACTATGGAATCGTATTTAATGGAAATACTCGAGGATAATTCTGCGCCACTTCCCGCCTAAGCGCGACTCTCGCCGGGCCGCATGCGTTGTAGAAAAATATAGGAACGACGGAAGTGACACGTAAATCAACACGTCGCGAAATGACGTTTACAGATACGCGCCGTCTCGCTCGCAATTTTGATCTATAACTTTTTTTTTCTTTTTTACGTCGTACGGAATAATAACGTCCAAGGTAGCTAACGTTCGTTCGCAGCCCATCGGGACTGATTAACGGCTCTCGTGCAAGCGTACGTGTTCTCTCATCGCCTCCGGATGCACACCGGGCGACGGGAGTATTCTGCACGATAATACTAGAATACCGCTGTCTCGGACGTGTAAGTACTATTGCTCAAGCAGAGAAACTTGCTCGTGTGCTTCACCATCGGAAATGCTGAACGTCTCGATTCTCTTTCCGGGATGGGTTATCTTCTTTTGTCATAGCTTCGTATGCTTCACACTGTCTGTCCAGTAATTCTGTATTGTCATTGCCTCTAGCGAATTTAGGAACGAGTCGTTATCCAAACTGTACATTTCCTCCGAGTTATCCTGCAAGTGAACGAGGAGTACTCCTATAAGTATTTTTGACAAATCAAAATTTCACTGCCGTCTTTTATCCTTCAACTGATCTCTAATGAAAAAAAAAAAAAATTCTTAACAGATTAAAAAACTTTAAATATATTAGAGATTCGTTTGTAAATTATTAATTTAATATACAAATCCCGCTGTGTGGATACATTAAATATTTATATTTATGTGCGTAATAATACTAACGCGGATAGTGGAATCATCGATGTAGCCGGAGCTATCAGGATTGCTGCATTTATCACTGTTCAACGTTTGCGGAGGATTCAAGTACTTGCGCCTGAAAGAAGGGAGTTAATGAATAAACGCATTAGAGCGAGCGCAGACGCGAACATAATCACGTTACGACGGTTCACGACGTGTTACCTGTATATAATGAATCCGAGACTACCCATTGTGCTGAGCAGGGCCACAGTCGCTAAACAGCTGCCCGTAATAGCGGCTATACCCGCGGCGGACGTCGCCGAACCTTGCTCAGTATTTTCGCCGCTATTATCGGCGCCATAATCGGAGGACTGATTGTCTCCTTGCACTTGATCTCTCTGGAAGTGCTGCGTGATGAAAGTGTTCCTCGCTCTGCTCAGACGAGTGGACTCGCTCACGCCAACTGCACATTCGTTACATGCGATCGTTATGAAGCGTTCTGAAGTACCGAGTAGTTTTCTTTCTCTTATCGCTAAATCCTAAACCGAGCTCTAAAAACTTTTTTTACATCCACTCACTTCTATTGTTTACTAAAATGTTTAAATTTAATCGGGGACTAGAGCAGAGAGTAAGCATGCACGAGAAAGGGAGCATTGTGTCAATGTCAGCATTGTGAAAACCAATCTAATTAAAATACAATGCTATACTCGCTCTTATCTCGCACGAGATAGCACGGCTATTAATTATCCGCGAGATGATTCTTACTTTTATTCGCTGTAACACACTTCTCTCAGAAGTTTTACCTTCGAGGATAGACGCCGCCGTGGCGAAGTGCTGCGTCTGAGCCACCTCCTCGTCGATCTCGACCTCGTCGTCGGATCGATTGAACGTCCTGATCGCGGCGTTACCGGCGGCCCCGGCCGCGGACAGGGACGTTTCGAAGGAGGCTCTCGTTCTGTTCAACGTCACGTCGACCTTCGACATTTCTTCTTGAAGAGGTAGCACGGTGAGATCCTCGACCTCCTCGCTGACGTTTCTGCCGGCGACGCTAGATTGATTTCTCTCCTCCGACCGATCGTACTTCGGTCTACCCGACGATTTGTTCGTCGTCAGGATCCACGTGATCTTGCTGTCTTTCTTCGCGGTCGAGTTCCGGATCCTCTCGACGTTCTCCGCGGCGCGCTGCGGTGCCGTCGTGCCGTCGAGCGACTCGACGCTGGAGATATTACCGCGGAAACTCAGCTCGACTGTCTCGTGGACGCTCGTCCCGGAGACGGTACCTCGTTCCAACAGCAACGAGGCGATAGTGGTGACGGATTGCTGCCTGTCAGTCACCACGGCCGTATTTGTCTGCGGGTAAAGACCGATAGCCTTGGCGATGCGAAAACTCGGCCTGGTTGACTTCGACGTGCGATAGATATCTTCAATCTCGATCGGCGAGGACGTCACCCTTGAGGACGGTTGGGACTGATTGACAGGATCTGATGTAGTAGACGGCAAAGGACTGCCAAGAATCACTGAGAAAAAAAAATAAAATATGATCATTGAATGATAAAGATAAGTTACACGATTATCAAATCATGCAATGCTCATTTCTCTTACGAGTTCTAATTTCTGAGAATCTAAATAACACAGAATACAAAAAAATGAAACGAAAACGCTTTGTGTAAGTCATTTCTGAATGAGAATTTAATTAAATATATCTCATCTTTTTATATATACCTTCCTTAACTTAATATTAAGTCCTCTTGGTAATTAAATTTATATTAAAATCACACATTAACAATTACTTAAGAGCTACAACTAATTGTAACTTAAATACATACAAACTACAATAAAATTTTATCGAAATTTTATAACTAATCGTAATAAAATATTAAATTGGGACTACATCTTTAAATTATTTGGACGATAAATAAACTACCTAATGAAAAAGATTTGTCTGCTTTTTCAATTTCATCCTGTTGCAATCGTATTTCGTATTCGACTGGACAAAGTGACCTAATTAAGGCAGAAGACTTTAAGAAGTTGCACAAGTCTTTTTATTGATCTTAACAGAGTTAATAGAGGACAGTTAAAAGTAAAATAGAAGATAGTTAAGATAGTTACTATTGTTGATAGGTGATTGAAGGTGGAAAAGTCTTGCTGTGTTGTAAGATGTTATTTAACAAAAAAAAAAAAAGCAAACAAATTGATGACTCACCAAGAAATTGCGCGGTAACCCAGAACCAGTGCATCCACCAATGTAGCGTCATCGCGTCATCTGGATGTATCTGCAAATACGAATGCGCCCATATGTAACCAGCGCGCCTGTGTGTACCGACGAACGTGAGGGATTCGCGCAAGCAATTCAGATATACTAAATATCATTGCACTTCTATTTCTGACGCCCGCGAACAAACGAACGTTCGCCGACGTCGTCGGTCGCCTCGTCGTTTCTGAGAGAAGGTAAAACGTTAAACACCGGGTGAGTAATCCGCGACCAATCGCGTTGCTTAATCGTGAAATCCGTGAGTCATTGAAGAATTTTAAAACCAACACCGACGGCGGTTCCAGCTTCCAGGTATGCGGCGGATGTCGAGATAATTTTGTGCCGACCGAAAGGAATTATGGAGTATCCTTGATGCACGGCTGTTTCTCTCAAATCGTTTCGGGATCGGAGATACAAATCGAGATTTTTTAAAAATATTTTTATGCATTCCTTACGCGGGCAGGTGTCTCATCGAATTTTCGGGAAAAGTACGAAGCTCCACAAATCCCAAGCCGGTTCGGAATATACCTGCTTGGGATCGACTTCAGTGGCTGTACACCGCACTTGTCGAATTTTCGGGTCCGTGCGTGCACCGGCACGGTAATTTTCGTGCCGTATAACGCAAGACGCAAGATTGAAATTATGACGGACCGGGGTGCCGTCGACCGACCGGTGCGTTGAACACAGGTGCTCGTACGCAATCTTACTTAAGTGCCTACGGCCAGCATCCGTTGAGTTAAAAGCGAGCCTCTGGCGCGTCTGGTCCTTTTGATAAATCCCAACGCGTTTGCGATTGCACGAGGTATGATAAATCGCGGTAAATATAGCGTAAAGCGATTTATATACAAAATGAAATCTAAATAAGGAATTCTATATAATATTGCATCCCAACGCGCAGATCAATATACGACAATATGTACGATAAATCTTTTGAGAATAAATAATGTATAAAAATTAATTGTCATATTTTACGAGCAAGTGTTGCAAATTTCTATGATTTTATAAGAAATTTTTGTAGTATATAAAAAAGTTTGTTTCTGTCTCTGAAGAGAAATATTGTGGATGTTAAGATATAGTTATGTACTTTATTAATTAATTAATTTCTTTAGAAATTAACGACGTGCAGTAATTAAATTAATAATAGGATAAAACATCCGTAGTGCGTTTATTTATGCGCCTATCTACGAAGCTTCGTGCCCACAAAATGTGGCGGAAAGATGCGATCGTTAAACAGCAGGATATAGTGCGACGGTCATGCTCTGTTGACCGCAACCAGTTGCAACTTGCGACGTGACACGAATAGGATATCGCGACGTTACTTAAAGATTGAACGACCGCGCTATTTTTCAATTTTATCGCTATAGAGAAAAGAGCAAGTTCGCGCGAAACCCACGTGTAACTTACAATTCCAAATAAAAATCCCATTGAAATATTGATCGCAGATCTGAAGTAGACCGAAGATAACACTTCGTTACCTATATATACCGATGGAAATTCTTTAATTTTCTATGCTGCAAAAATCCGTAATTATTTTAAAGTTTCAAACGAACGAAAAATTTGCAAATCTTAAAATTTCACAATATCAAAATTAATATAAATAAATATAAAAAGTTTAATTCGTTCTTTCTCTTAGCTAATTAATTAATATATAAATATCGATTAAAGTGTAAAATTAATTCCTCATAAATATTGCAAACGCAGTGGCAAATAAACAAATAGGATTCCACAGCTGATTCTCGCGCGTATGTGATTCCGACGATAAAAATCTGCGTGCAGGAATCTAAGGACATTATCCTGTCCTTCAGAGACTGCGCGAGCGGACAGCCTCTGCTTCCTCGAACAAAGTAATTACGGAATCAAGGAGCACGGAGAGTGAGACACGCTCGTCCGTATACAGTTAGTCATGCTCCCCCGGTTGTAACCGGTCGCACCTTTGCGCGGATACGGCTCGGCTCGGTGTATTGAAGTCTGGACGGAAGAAGCACGCGGAGGATGTCGCGCCGTGATTTTCCCACCGGTAATCCGGACTTAATGGAGACATTGGAACAAAGAGCGCGACCCCGACCGGGCCGCTCCTCTGGTCCGGGCGACAAAAGGTCCCCACCTCATTGACAACTCCTCGCACCCTCCATCGGCGTGACTTCATTCACGGACCGGAAACGCGGCAGCGCACGTCGTAACGCGTCGTGCGGAAGGACGGCGCAGGGACGCAGCTAGAAATTTTCGGCTACTTCGGCGATGCGACAGGCGTTCTTGAGAGACAAAATAGAAGAGAACGGAAAAACTTCATAGAGAAAAGGAAGACTCTTGACTCTGAGTTTATTTAAATAATTTGTACATCCTTTTTTTTTAAATAACTTGTTAATTTTTTTTCTGTAATTGATGTTCAACATTCGTTTAACGCCTGCACGTACGTGCCGCGACTTGAATGTCCAGAATCGTTTTTTTTTCCAGCGCACGGACGACACTTCTCACGCTTGTTTTCGCAAAATTGCAATTTATTCTACGGCGATACAATCGCGGTACTTATAACGACGCGGAGCTACGACGATGCACAAATCGCTGATTTCCGTAAATAAGATATACGTCCGCTTCTACCAGTGAACGCTGGTTTATGAATTTCATGCGGATTTAACGGCGGATCCGATTTAACCCGATTTACAGCCGCGTTCCATTTCGTTTCGAGATCAAAAGGATAACGAAGTAAGTGCTCCACTGGGTCGAAGCTAACGCGTTCGACGATAATACACGTACCGTACGAAACAATTAGAACGTGTGGTGTGTGCCTCGCGAACGAACACGATCCCGGTTGCGCCGCAAGGTATGAAATTGCGCGATATCGGAGTGCAAGCAGAAATTAGAAAAAAAACCGCGCGCTGCATTTCGCGCGTTGCGTAATTCCACTTCCGCGTGCTGGGGCCTCGCCCCACTTCGTTTTCAGACCGGAAGGATGCGCAACGCGCCCAATTATAAACGCGCTGATAATCCCGCTGTTAACTGTATTATTGCCGCTGATCGATTGCGTGCAAACGCGTCTGACATTGAAAACAAATATTCGGAATTAACGGGAGCCCGCCGCTGAGCGAGCAATTAAGGCGGCGAAAACACGGCCTGACGTAATCTTATATATGTGTGCGAATTTTTTTCTAGAAATTAGGCGAAAAAATATGCAGTATACAGTACGCTATAATTGCATAGGAAACGTGTCGGCTTGACTTTTATATTAAAAATAAATAAAATTTCTCTTGGACTATTTTTCTTCGCAAGTAACGTCAACGTTCATTGGAAAATTAAACTGCTTGTTGTTTTCATCTTCAACATCGTAATTTAGATTACAATCGGAAAGATTCAACATTTGTAGAAACGTATAAGCTGCCATTGGTAAAGACATTTTAATTCAGACGGTTTGAATTATTTCAAAGTATTTCGGTGTTCCACGTGTCTTCGCGAAAATTCGAAAGGCTTAATAACAAAGGAAAGCTCTCGAAAAATAATTTTTAAAATACAAAAACCAAAAAGCACGCCGAAATCAGCGAATCGGAGAGTGCACTTCCCTGTACACTCTATATATATATGTATATATATATATATATACACGTTTCGTTCCACTTGGTTTTCAGACCAAGGGGATAATTGATTTAATGAATTCGCTTCTATCGCGTGCTGCTTTACATATATACTCTCCGTGAAAGCTCGTGAAAAAAATTGGCCGTTTCGCGATTCGCGCAGCAACGTGCAGCCGGAGTTCAACGACCGTCGTGCATAAAGTTCCCCGAATCGGGAGGAGAGGGATGGGGGGAGGGGCGGGACAACGGGTTTAATAACGTAAGTTAACAGCGCGATTCTCGTAAAATTTCTAATTTCTCTGTTACACGCATCGTCGTTCCATCCAAGACCATGCGTATATACTTTATCGCACTCGCAATTTTCTGTGTGTTCGCGAAGGAGATCCTTATCTCTCTTTTATTTCGCGCGTCACTGAGGGACGCGCAATGAGATTCATTATCTATGATATCATGCCGCCGAATTATAGCATCGAGTCACGTAGCCGTGGCAATCAACGTGGTTAAATTGCAACCTTCGCGCCTTTTTGTCGCAATGTGCGTAAACCTTGACTTCCTTATAAATGACTACAAGATACAACGGATAACGTTATATCCTTAATAATTAATCAAATTACTTAGGTGTAACGAGACTTAATGCGCGAAAGTTTTGACGTTCGGGTTCGTTGCTACCGATTTGCAGATCGGATACAGAATGTTTAAAAAGTAAGGAGAGAAGTGCGCGACGGGATACAATCATTGGAGCGTGAAGTAGAAATGCGTATTCGTTTCCTAATCATATAGCACGATCTCCGCGGAAGACCGCGATAAAAACCAACGTGGCAGCGCCGAGCGGAAACTCGTTTCTTGATTCACTTTTCCCAACTGATCAAGGTTAATCCGGATCGGATTTGATACAGGAATACTTGAGTTGTAACTTGAGTTGTAATTTAGCGTCAGCATTTTTGAGAAAAAGAAGCTAAAAAAAAATCAAACAATTATGTAAAACTCAATGAAAAACTGATCTGAAAATTAAAAAAGTTTAGAAACTTTGGATTAAAAATACGATAGCCTTATATTTATTGCATCACGCTGTTAAATTAATTTGTATTATAAATCATTATTATTATTATTATTAAATTTTCTATATATTCATTCAATTAAAAATCAAAAATTCTTTTACACAAAATATACTTCTGCAAACGTTTGTTAAGACAGTGAATAAAAATATTATTATGATATGCTTCTTGTAATCGTAAGCTATATGGATCGAGAGCTACAAGGGAAATTATTCAGCGTCGCGTCTCGTTCGAAACGCATCGAAGAGGAGAGAGATGCATTTGAGTCATCGATGGGATTAACGCTCGTGAAGAGGTAAAGTGGGACTAACGAGGACACTAAAGTAAATCGCCGAGCCTCGTGCTGTCGAGTGCCCGAATGAACGCGAATTATCGGGCGCATTAGCGCAACCCGCGAAACTAATGGCCGTGAACCGATTACTCGCGGATGCTCGTCTCCGGTTTTTCTGCCATTGTCGGCGGAGCGATCTGCGGCCGATCTACAAAGGGGGTCAATTTCAGCGGCTAATGACGCTAATTAAACCTCCGTAATAAACTGATCGGTGTCGTCACCTCGACTTTCCGACCAAACTGCGCCGGCAGCTTGCTCTATGCTCTCGTTAGCGGAGCTTTTTCCGTAAAGTAAGTTTTTTTCTTGTAAGGTCGTCATTTTTCTTCGCGAAGTGCGAACATTGCATTCTGCGCACCGCTCACGGAATTCGCCATTGAAGATCACAGGGTGGCGTCACGTCCGAACGATCTTTCGGTTTTTCACGTTTATCGGACGTCGTTCGCCACGTCCACTACAACTGCGCTGCAGAAGTTTTATCGCAACCTTTTTCTGTCGGTGCAGCGATAAAGAACATTCGTACTACGTTACATGCGACGCGTGGCATTATCATTCACAACGTTCGCGACGTATAATTTTGTAAAGCATAGGCGCATAGAAGAAATATAAAAAAAAATACAGACAATGCTACGTCATTGCGAAATCATGAAGAGTGACGACACATCCGGCACGTTTAAAGTATCACGAATAATTAATCTTCTCTATTATTTTCGAACTTACTTCTCAGCAACTACCGCGGCGAAAATATTCAATTAAGAACATGAATTTGCGGACAAATTGATTTTCTCAAAAATTTCAATTCTATACGGTTAATTTGTTTAAATTGGTGTTTCCTCGCGAATACGAGGATTTGCGCAAAAAAAATTTAATTAAAATTTAGTCAAGCCGAAAATAACCGGTGGTGCGCGATGATGCGCAGCCGAGTAGAAAGAATGAAATCACGCGTTAAAGGAACGTCAGTCTTTCTAGGCGAATTTAGGCAGCAGCTGCTGCTGCACGGTCAGATCGTCTCCAATATTGTATTCACGACATGAACTTTCACACACACTCTCGGATAGTAGATCTAATTTTCACCGAAGTTTCACTATATTTCGAAATGCGATTGTGGGACACACATATACGAGATCGCTTTTTCTGCCCAATTAATCTTACGTAAAAGTGTATTACATGTGGGAACGTCGGTCGTTAAAATAGGTGAATTCGCGATTTAAAGTCTATTTAAAAGCATAAAATTTGCAAAGCAAAAACTAAAGACAATGGGACGCACGGTGCGACAACATTATTATAGGACGGTTTCGTCGCCAAACTTTTTAACGAGGAAAATATTTAATCGACTGGCAAAAAAGAAAATCGAATGCAAAGAGGATTTCATGCATTGTCATGCGGCGGTGTGTGTTACATAAATTTCCAGCCAGGAAACCAGCATTTCACGATGACATTTTTAAGAGAATTCACAAACAATGATTAATCAAAATTGTCGAAAACTGACATGACTCATCCTAAATAATTATAATAAACGTTATTTTCAAATATATTGAGGTAGAAATAAAACGTATCCATTATTCGTGATAGGATTTGCACGATCCAAAAGTCATCTGGAAATACAGATTAGTTTAACGCGCGATTATCCCTTTTTTCAAATTGAATAATCCTGCGAGATTCGCGCTTTCGGGCGCTGCAACGACATGGTTTCAACGAGGTTGATCTTCTCTTATCAAACATAATAAATATTCTTATTAAACATAATAAATATACTATATTGCTCGTTGTACAACTTTTACAATCACGTTCACACGTGGATAGTGAAATATAGAGTTAGTCAAATATAAAATAAAATTCAATCGCAACAAACTCGCGCAATTATACCGTAAAGCCATATAATAACATTTTCATTCAAAGAATTATTACATAAAATTAGTAATGCCGCATTATTAAATTTTACTTATATTTTTACTTGAACGATGTTTTTAATTACGTTATTTATTTTCGTAAAATAAATAACGCTTGAAGTAGATCAAAGTATTAATAGAATAATGCTCGAATAAGATTGTAGCGAGAATCGAAGTATTAATAGAAGGGAGATGCGCGCGCTTGAACGATGTATCAATTAATTATATTATTTATTTTCGTTACACAAAAGTAGAATGCAATACGGTTAATTTTTCGCTAAATATTTTCTTAATATATTATTTATTTAACATTGAAAAATTAACCGTATCGCATTTCAATTTTATCTTACGAAATTAAATAACATAATAAATTAATCACCAAGCGCGCATTCGCTTCTATTGATACTTCGTTCGCCGAAATTCCGTGAAAACCAACCCCTCGTTTCCACTATATACTGTTACACGTCACGAAACTTGCTTGTTACTCGCTGCGGAATTATCAGCGTGACGATCGCGAGGTATTACACGATGGAAATCTTTCTCAACGCAAGAGGTTTCTATGGAGGGGCAGATTTTCAGACAATCTGACCTATTCTTCGTAACAGTTTCACCTGCCGCGCGAACATATTCCCCATTGTCTCGCACGTACACGTTCGCCATCGCAATGCCCCGGAGAGCGACATCATTCCTCCGAGCAATCGGTGTCAGTTCTCATACTTTTCTCCGCGCCAAACAAGCAAAAATAATTTTAGCCCACCTCCATCGCTTCACCGATCGACAATTCGACATCGCGAAAAGAGCGAGAGAAATGACTTCTATATAGAAATATAATTTAAAAGTGGTAGATTTTTCTTAGGTACTTTCTCAAAAATAAGATGGTCGCATACATTTCAGATCTATTTAATTTGCGTCGCATTTTTTAAATCCATAATAATATAAATTGTTGTAAGTTCAATCTGAAGAAGTAAAAATTAGTGAAAGGATTCGCACGAAAATAATAAGATGAGCACGTAGCATTCATTGTCACATTGTTGGCACTGCAGATTCCCGCGTAAACACTTTTGCGGATTAAACACGCAGCTCGTGAAAGGAAGAAAGTAAAGATGAAATCTCTATCGGTGATCGAAAGTTCGGTGACGAGTTCATCCGAATGGCAATTACATTCGTATCGACCCCGCGAAAGTGGAACTCAGAAACGTAGAAATTGGCCGTGCAGCTTACTCGAGTCTTCACCGTAAATCTAAATAATTAATTTATGTTGATCACGATGACCGAATTGCATCTACGATATCAGCGCGGTTCGATAAATTATGATTCGTAATCATAATTTATCGTGCAGGTCTGCTATCTATTTAATCTAATCGATTGCCTCGGTCTATTGGCTCAGAACATCAGTCACGCTCGCCCTATTTTAGAGATTATTATATAGTTAATTATATCACATAAAAAAGAGCGGGAGAGAAAGAGAATTTAATTGGCAGTAAGCACGGATTAAGCTCGAATAAAATATCGCAATACTCCATTCCCTTTGACATGCTGTCGTATCAATTATTTCTTTATTCATCAATTATTACTTGAATGTAACTCTTTGTTAATACATTAATAGTCTTCACCGATATGTTGCATTTACAGTAAACGATCCTGTAATTTAGGTATGTAATTACATCGGGATTTTGATAGCTAATAGTTGATTAAAGATTTAAAGATATAGTCCGATCGAAAGAATACCTCGTACAGTTTCTGTCTTAAAATCTCGTTAAAAATATCTGTTGCTAAAATCGAACAACATTATTCTGCGAAACAGCGCACTTCGTTTGCGATTCGTCGCGGATTATCTATGTAACGCGAACAGATGCGATACTTAACAGATACGATAAAAGTGATAGCGCAGCTATCTCTTGCCGCTTGGGGAGCGTGAAAAGCAATCGCGATGTCAATTTATTGGCGAACATGGCTTTTATCATGGGAGCATTGTCTATACGCGACGTACGTGAATGTTGTGTGAATATTGCAATAGTGCAGTAATAAGCTTTGTCTCTGTACAATGTGCGCCGTTTGAATGTTGCACCGAAGTATTAATGTTTAACCGAAAAGCAAGGATACATTAAAAAAGATAATTAAACGGATCACAACGATTATAACCGAAAACCAAGCAATTTATTAAAAAAAGATAATTAAACAGATTGCAACAATTAAAAATGTGACAATGTTTCTTATAAGACAGTATAAAAAAATAACTGTACGCGCTCATCTATATAAATGACGTCTTTACTGAAAAAAGCAGCTTCTACTTGATCAAAGAATAATGCATGAATGTTGCACCGAAGTATTAATGTTTAACCGAAAACCAAGGATATATTAAAAAAGATAATTATAAATGGATTACAACGATCAAAAATGTGAAAGTGTTTCTTATATATAAATATATTCGATAAATATACACGACACTATAAAAAGTAACTGTGTGCGCGCATCAATATAAATGACGTCTTTGTTGGAAAAAAAGCAGCTTCTAATTGATCAAAGAATAACGCATAAAGCTCTAACGCTAAACTCGTGTTTCTACATGAAGTATAACGCGTATAAGGAACGTTTTATGGAATGTCCAATGCGGCATATCGGCAGCGGCGGTATGGCCTGTGTGTACAATTAAAGATCGCTATTACCAGTTATCATTACTTAACCGACATTTAAGTGATATTAGCTGACGCATCGGTTTGTTAACTCGTCGACACGGCAGCCGCGCACGAGTTCCGACGAAGGAACGTTCCGTTAGACGCGGCGAGACCGTAGAAGGAAAGAAAAAAAAGAAAATAGCCGGTCATATAATCCGTCCGTACTGTACGTGCACCCGCGAATTTCTATCCCCCTTCGCGGGGATAATAAGTTATAACGCATATACCATTTGCGAGAGCGAAAGCTCGTCCGCCAGCTATACACACCAGTCACGCATGCGTTGTTGCAAAACCGGCGAAAGTAAAGATTCGCTTTCGTAGCCGTTTATTACAAGCCCGTCTCTCGCGCCCGTGCGATATATATAATCTAATTGCAAATAAAATTATTAAATGTAAGGACGTTGCCACGGTAAGATCGAACGACAGGAATCGGATTATCGACTCTCGCGACACGCGTCTGAACTGTCGCCTTCGAAGTTATTGCGTTTCAATTCAGTCGCTGTGCATGTTCGATTTAACGAGAATAGAATAATGGAGAACTTTCCAGGGTAGGGGGGCTATTGACGAAAAGTTTGCACGCCAATTTTCAGCAACACAGATAACAATTGCCATCACGTAACGCAATAAATTAATGACTCCAACGAAAGTTTCAAAGTGATTTCTGTAATTATGTCCCTAGAATACAGAGTCTGCAAATCTGAACCAAAACAGCGTATAAATGTATAATAGTAAAAATAAGTAAATAACAGAAAGAACAGAAGTTAAAGAAGTGACAAATTTTATTATTATTGAGGACGTATTAGATAGAGAGGGAGAGAGAGAGAGAGAGAAGTAATAAATGACAAGATATTTAATTATCTTAATATACAATATATGAAACTGGAAGTATAAAACTTCACAAGACTAAAATATATTCGTTATCTCTAATCTTAAAATAATGTCAACTATAATCCTAAACTTTAATTATAGAATAAACAATGCCTTATTACTGCGTGCCTAAATGCTCCAATTCATGGAAAAAAATGTTCTATAAAATAAAACAATATACTTCAATTGTACTGTTTTTCTTGTATACTATTAAATAATATTTCATTTTATTAACAAATCAAGTATTCACATGACATATTATAGTTTATTTTATTCTTAGCTATAAAAAAATATATTATGTTATCAAAAATCTTATAATAAACAAAGTACAAAATTATAATAAAATTATAATAAACTTTGTTTTTTTTCGATATTTTACATCATTCTTTGACTTGTAATCATAAAGCCCTAACAATGATGTTAGAGTATTAATACGCAATAGTTTATGTTGCGTGCAGCACTATAAAATTTCAAAGATAAAAACGCGTTCTGAATATGAATATGAATACCTTTGAATATAAATTCCCGCTGTACTTTGATTGTACTGCTATTTTGAGGGGTCTAATCACATGAACCAATAAGAAGATAGCTAACGAGATGACCAGACTCTGTATTTTAGGAACACAATTCCTGTAATACTTTCGTGCGCAGTAACCGCAGATGTTTATATTTAAAATAAGCAACAATAAAGTGTTAATGTTGAAAAAATATCCAAATTATTAATGCTTTTAAACAATGTAACTCGAGAATTCATGTATACTGTATAATATGTATATTGTTACAATCGTTTATCAATTTTCATTTATTCTGTTACGAATAATCCATTTATTTCATATCGCGTCCGAAATTTCGTTTTTTCCACGAGGCAGAATAAACTATTTCGGAGGATTTCTGAGCGCGCGCACGCGTTTTTCGTATATTAAATTATTTTTTGTCACAAAAGTGGGATTTATTTTTTAAAAAAATCTAAATCTGCATAAAAGAGCAGAGAATGCGGGTCGTTCGTTTTTTTTTTGTAGAGCGTCACACAAACGCGGTCACACACGGTGCAGGTGCGAAGATTCGTTTAAGTGGCATGCCACTGCGAGGTCCCGCTGTGTCGCAATTAGCGCGGCTCTGCGACGCGGACACGCGCGTTTCAGAGAAAAATTGCGGTTTTTCGCCTGCAGAGTCGCGTCATCGCCACTCATCTCGCTAAGCATCCAGCCAACGTTGATGTAGCGGAAATTCCGAGATATTTTTCCGCTTTGTATTCGCAACAAAAAAAATTATATTCTTACCAATTCTATTTTTATTCAGTAAATCAATTGATCGTACAGCTACACATGCAATCATTGACATACCTATATATATATATATATATATATATACTTTCACAATTATTTTCTATGTGAAAATACATGAGGGACTGTTAATTGTTTTTCACTTAGAGTAGTTAGAGCCGTTAGATGACGATACTTGTAAAAATCTCACGGCAGAAACTGAGCCACGGCGAGAGTTATGCAGAATTTCGCACGCCAGCACGCGTGCGGGAGTAAGTATGAACCAACCTTTTACATCAACTTGGTCGTAATGCTCGACGAGCTACCCGTAGTACCCGTTTAATAGGATTACTAGTTGCGCCTCTCTCTCTAGGTCACGCGGCACGCGAAGCCAAGCGATAGGTATCTTTTAATCAGCAGGACGACCGACACTGACAGACGCGCGCGCGTGTTTGTGTTTGTGTGTGTGTGTGTGCGTGTGTGTGTGTGTGTGTGTGTGTGTGTGCGTGCGTGTGTGTGTGTGTGTGTGTGTACATATGTATACACGCAACACCCGCTCGCGTCTCGACGACGAAAGTGCACCGATGCATCTCCCGCGGCCTAATGCACGGCTGTACAATAGCGAATTCATAGCCGCTTGAGTAAAGCCTTCTCACGCGCGCCCCGCGCGCTACTCGTTATTTCGAAACGATAGGCGAGCAAAGGTACTATTATTACAGAGAAAGAGAATGGCTGGCTTGTGTTCCCTCGACGGGCCGGTAACACGCGTCGCTCTCCGCGTCGTGCGCGAAGGAAAATCGAGATAAACGAAACGGGGAGGGAAGGAGTTTCCCCTCTCGCAAACCGCGCCCGATAACACGAATGCGGAAAGGAGACCGCGTTTGTGGAAACACGATAACATCTCGCCGGATCTTGCGTGAAAACTGTTTGCAAAAGAATCGAGGGAATCCGGCAAATTAAGTTCGCTCGATGAAAGCCCGATAAAGTTAAGTAAGTCATCACGACAGTTTTATTCACAATATCGTTACATGACACTTTTTTTTCATTCATTTGTTTCATTCACTCGAATTCTATTTGCGTCGTGATTCCATCTAAATTGTTCACCCCTTGGCCGACGATCGAAGTGACGGAAGTGATAGATTTCACACGTCCTTTGACGGCAAACTGGTGCGGGAAAATCTCGCAAAATTTATTTATTGTCTTGCTTGCAGAAAAGGAGTCTGCGTCATCGACAAGTTTCACGCCCGCATGAGCCCGAGATGAATGGACAGAAATAGGGAAGCGTGAACTCCTTTCACCGTTAACTACGTTGTCTACATTTCCTCGATGCACGGATGCAACAAGGAGTTTCCTGATCCACGTACGTACCAAACAATGCGGTTCATCCTTCGCGAATACAAGAGCGAATAACCGGCGAAGTCTAAACCGCGAGTCTCGGATATGTTCCAGTCGTTCGCACGACGACGAGCGGAGGAAATGGACGCTTCCTGTGCGGAAATTCGCGACCTTCGGCGGAAGCCTGAGGGAGACCGCAGACAATGTCGGAGGAACAGCTGGAGGAAGGAATAATTATGCTGCACAAAAAGCGACGATTCAACGCGATTCTACTGCGATTCCACGGACGAGTGACGTTCAGTAATAATGCGCGGAATGAATATTCAATAAGCCTGGATATTGATTTAAAAATAATCTCCTGATAACAAAATTTTTATCTAAAATCTCAATTCTTATTTTCCGCGGCTTTAAATAGGTAATCAATAACGTCAAAGAAATTTTTCGCATTCGGATTCTTTTTCGTTTTTTCTGAAAACGATAACGTGTGCACCCCCAAGTGTCGTAAATTCCACAGAGCGAACTCGGGCGAACTTATCCGAAGTATCAAAGGCGGAAATCTCGAGCCGTCACGAAGACGGAGTGAAAGAATTTATCTCGAAATACACGGTGGACGGTACCGAGGACGGTATACACGACAACGCGCCCTGAAGCATGAAAAAGAGAGAGAGAGAGAGAGAAAGAAAAAAAAAGGAAGTGGACACGCGGCGTCAGGTCGGCGCGCCCGGAACGCGGACTATTTCTGGACATTCCCCGGGGGATCCGTTGCGAAAAATTCGGTTCCTGGTTGCGCTTAAGTTTAGATCGCGTTCCGATGCACCGATCGTCCTAAAAATAAGTTAAAACCGCGTCGGGAAAGTAATAGTCACGCGATTGCAATCTACTCCTTTGCGTATCGGCGCAACGCGTTGTCGACAAAATTCGCAGATCAATCTTCGGGTTTCATTAAACATCCATTCATCATCTACAATCGCAAATGTTGCATTATAGCTCAAGGAACATAATATATGTAGTGTTTATAAAATTATCTATGTACAATTCTCTATGCGCGCAAAATTATTCTCGCCTAGGCTGTAATCGTAAACTTTATACTGTTTATCGGAACACTTAAAAAAAGAAAGAAATATTATTTTTTTTAAATATGACAATCGCTATAAATTTTACATTATGTATGTCCCCTTTAATACCTAAATTCATTGACAGAATGGAAAATCCCTTATGCATGTGCTTCAGAAGACCGAAATTTCCGGTTGCGATAGTGCTCGCCTTAATTATAAACTAATTATACTTCGACGGGAAATCGAATGTGATTGGTAGTGCGGACTCTAATTGCGGTAGGAAAAAAAATAGCTCAATTACGTGTAGAATATGCGATATCGACACACGCACGCGTCGGTATATCTGCCTTCTGTTTTCCCCGACGTGATATATCGACGCAACGCTCGGTTGGACATCGCGAATAACCGGTTACGTTGCGCAATCTCCCGTCAACAATATGCTTCGGCTCGCGTCAAGGTGTAATGAGTCACAAAAATATATATATACATATGAGACGAACGAGGGGAAGGGGAGAAAAAAAATATACACTCCGATCCTGCCAGGATTCGAACCTGGAATCTTCTGATCCGTAGTCAGACGCGTTATCCGTTGCGCCACAGGACCAGCTGATTGCGAAATAGTTGCAGACTACATATCTGTAAAAAATCTTGTAAAAGTTGCCAAACGTCAACGAGAAAAAGATATTTTCCATATTCGACTTTAATAGGCGAAACGAGAATAATGTCACGTCAACAATAGCATTTTATATTCCGATGAGATATGAGGTTTCTCTTTCATTTTTCGTTGTATTTATGATATATTTTACAGAATATATTTATTATATAGCTAAATATTTAGAAATATTTGTCCGTCGAGTTTTATAAATTTCCCCACATTCGCGTCAAAATTGTCATTGAGAAATGTTCATTTGTTTCATTTATTCTGGAGCAATCTGTATCAATCATCCATACATGCAAATGGGGTAAAACTGAATGATCGGGTGTCCTAGTTTCCGAGAACACGACCTTCATCAGACATCTTTACGGATCTTTTAATTACAATCGTTTGACATTTTGCAATCGTCATTAAACATTTCAAAGCTCATAATTATACATCTCTGTTAATAAATTTTACTCTGTTAATAATTTATTTTATTATTTTCAGTGTCACACTTGTATAATCATGAAAAAGGGAATTTATCAAACGAATAAAAGAGATTGTAAAAAAAAATAAAGATCTGGCTTAAAAATAAAGGATAATCCAGCCTTGGTTTCTTTAAAAAAAAAAGATATGTTTTCTAATTAATCTATATAATATAATATAAAATCGAACGTTTGCCTAGAAGACTAATATCCGGGCATCGACTGTCATGGAAATAAATCACCGATCATCGAACATTAAGGCAAATTTAATTTATTTACTTTTATCTTCAAATGCAAATTTCACAATAAAACAAACATTTTATTGTGAAATTTGCATTTGAAAATAAAAATAAATGAGTTATTTTGCCTTATCGTTTTATTGTGAAAGTTGCATTTGAAGATGAAGATAAATAAATTATTCTGCCTTATTGTTTTATTGTGAAATTTGCATTTGAAGATAAATAAATTATTCCGCCTTAATGTTCGATAATATTCAACGCCATATTCTTGTTCGATTCTGCCTAGTGCAAAGTCTCGTTTGATTCTAGAAAATGTCTAAAAGAATGACGTTAGCTTCCAATATCAACAAACGGCTCTACGCTGATAATTTCATCAGTTCGTGCAATACGCTTGACGCAAACATTCGTCTTGCTAGTTTGTAAATCGTGAAACGTATTTCGCTTCGTGAGATGCGAATATTTCACGGACACGTTCAATTGCAGTAACGCGTCTTTGGGCGGTCCTCGCTCGTTTTCGTGGCGTGCAGCGTCTCGTAAAATGTCGTTCAATGTCGATGATGTCATAAGGTCTGTTTCTTACAGCTGAATTAGTATACACTTTTTGATTTTAAATAAAATAGGTATGTTTTAAATTTGACGAAAAATAAAACGAGAAAGGAAAGTTGTAGTGCAGTCTAGTGCAGCAGTAAAAAAAAAAGAAATCAACAGCAAATCACGAAAAGTTTCACGTGAAAATTCTACGTGTTATCCTCCGTATCTTCAAAGCCTCGCCTTAGAATCTTTTTTGCGTTAAATTTTAAGCATTCAGTTTTTTCCTAGCATATGTATATTATGTCCATTTCCATATCAATGTAAATTAACTTTAATCTTGGTTTAATTTTCTATCTTTTCCTAGTTCTATAAATTGCAGAGAAAAGACAAAAGAATAAATTAAACCAAGATTGAAGTTAATCTACATTGGTATAAAAGTGGATATTAGAAATCAGATTTATCAGAAAAACAATCCGAATTTCGAATAATAATTCTCGAAGCATCCTGTTAACCTTGATGCTGGTTTTAACGAGCGACTGGATGACGCAGTTAATCCGCAGGAAAACACAGACTGTTGCCTATATCGTTTCGTTGATTACTCTCCTATGTAATTTTATGAATGTCTCGCACGACAGGAGGCGATGAAACGACAGCTTCTACGATATCGGAGATATTAAGGAAAATAATGCGCTTCGCGCGCGCTTCCGGGATAAGTGCGCGCGAGTTGTATGATATACGCGCGCATTGTTCCCGCGATTCGTTTTCGAGTAAGTCGAGTAGGTATCGACTACTCGAGCCCACACAAGTTTCCCTGAGGTTCTCGATAGCTGCGTTCGACGCGTGTCACGTTTTTTAACGAACGTCGTGCACGTCGGCAAATCAATACACGCGACGATGCGATTTCCAGGCAAAAATCCCGGCACAATGGAGAGCGTAGAGAGCCGAGAGCGTGAAGCGCAATTTCAATATTTATAGGATATTTAACCGTTCCTCGATTATTTCCGTTTCTCGTTAAAGTGGCAAATTGGAAACGAGAAGTCAAGGTAATAGATCGGCGCGTCCGATATATCCGTTCTAATGAACTTTTATGACAGAAACTGAACTCACTTCGGCGTTTGTGATTTCTCGCAGAATTTTCGCGGCATTTCCCAGTTCGCAGACTCCCCAGTCGCGAATACGTGATCGAACAGGAGAAAAGTTTAGACTTGTCAAATTTAAAGATCATCTCTTTTCGCTCTCTCTCTAAGATACATAAACTTCATTATAAGAATTGCCCGCTTATAGAACAGCGAAACTCTGAAATAACGGGGAGGAAAAACCTCGGCTTTCTTTCCTCTTTTTTCTTTCTCGTCTAAGTGATTCCGCTGCGGGAGGAAAAGTCCATGTACGGCGGGGAAACTACTAATTTCATAGTCTACGACACACAATCGCGCTTTACGTAAGATACGTGCACACCCGTGGGCGAAGTAGCGCGGAAAAGCTCGCGGAAAGCCACGCGCGTTAACGCGCACGAGAGCCGATGGGCGCGCGACGGTCCCAGTATTTACGTCGGTGTGTTGTGTCACGTTGACAGCCGAGCATGGACAGCCTGGCTCCGGTTCGCGCGCACGCTATACTGCAGGCAGCAACAACAACGCGAAAAAAAACGTCGCGCAACGCCCGGCGAACGCGCGACGCAACGTTCTGTCGCGATAAAGCGCGTCGTTGTGAAACACGCGCGTTCCATTGGCTCGACGACACTTACGATTAGCTGCGGGAGATCTCGCGCCTCGCTGTCACCCTGTTGTTAATCGCCCCCGGAGACCAGGAGGGTGCTCGACGTCCGGTCGCGCTGAACGAAGTCGCTCCGGCGTCTGTCTGTTGAGAAAAGGGGAGGAAAAGCGCGACCGGGGCCACCAGGCGCGCCGATCGTCGCTTCCGCAGTCGCCGCGATTGCCGACGCCGAGTCACGTGGATCACATCATCGCGCGCGTCCCGTTTAGAGAAACGCGAGCGCGGCCGCAACACGCTGCCGTCCGCCGCGAACAGTGTTGTTATGCGAGTCACCTTTGCGCGCATGCGTATTCGAGTACGGCATCAACGCTGTACTAATGTCGAACTTACGAAGGTTCTGTAAGGACCCTATTGTAGTGTTTGTATAAAAATTATGTCACTTTTCA